TCTGCAACTTACCTGGCTACTTCTTGCTCTGACTGAGGGCTGCTGGGAGCAGGGGGTGAGGCTTGTTGCATGTGCCCACCCCCTGGGCTCCTTACTGCCGGAGCTCTGCTCCTGTGCGCTCCTGCAGGAAATGACACCTGAACATTTATATATTATCCTGGCAACAGCCCTGAAAGGTAGAGGAGTATCCACAAAACTATACTGCAGATTGAAGGCGAAGGCTGAGAGACGGAAAGACTGAGAACAGCTTGCAAGCTCACCACAGAATTGATCTGCTTCATTTATACCCTGCATTTCTCCCCAGAGCACGGACTCTAATCTGGGAGATTAGGCTCTAATCTGCAAATTATTACAACACTTGGAACAAAAACCTCCCCAGGACTCAACAGGGACATTGGATTTTTATCCCATTACATATGCTAACTCAATCAGTCCTCACATATGTATTCTCAACAAGAAGGACTATAAATCCTCTATATTTTAGTGTATTTTTTTCCAGAATAGTATATTAGAATATGTATTCTCAACAAGAGGGACTATAAATCCTCTATATTTTAGTGTATTTTTTTCCAGAATAGTATATTAGAATACTGAATGTTATACAAGGAATATTGGATAGTTTGGCTGACAGACGCTGCTTCCACCTCGAAAGAGAAAGTAAAAATGCTGTTAAGTGACCTCTATACTCTGAGGGCGGGGAAGAAATTTAAATAATAATGATGATGATGATGATGATGATGATGATGATGAATGGAGAGTCTCAAATTTATCTTAACACATTTATTGCTTTACAATGGTTGACCTTATATATATTATTAGCTTGTTATATTTAATTATGTTTTTGCATAGTTTAAAACATCTTCATCATGTTACATGCTAATTGGCTGTTCAGGCTATAAATTTGAATCTTACCTTCCATTCCACTGTATTTGAAAAAGTGTGCTTTGCACACGAAAGCTCATACCTTGAATCAACCTTTGTTGTTCTTAAAGGTGCCCCACTGGACTCTACATTTGTTCTACTGGGAGAACCCGGTTTGATTCCCCACTCCTCCACATGCAGCTGCTGGGGTGACCTTGGGTCAGTCACAAGTTCTCTCAGAGCTGTTCTTTCAATGGCAGCTCGAGAGAGCTCTCTCCGCCCCACCTACCTCACAGGCTGCCTGTTGTGGGGAGGGGAAGGGAAAGGAGATTGTAAGCCGCTCTGAGACTCATTCAGGTAGTGGACGGGGTATAAAAGTCCCCTTTTAAAACAATCCTAAAGGGACTCAGGAAACCTCAATATAAAGCAAGACCTTTACACCAAGGCCTTTTCTTGTGTTACGTTTTCGCCATGGGTCCTTGCCTATGGCACACGGCGCCCCTCAGAGGGGCGAATAAGCCCCCCAAGAAGGGGGCGGCAAAGGATGAGACGGTTAGGCAGTGTTATCGAGGCAACAAACGTGAAATTAAGCAAACTCCAGTGGACGGCGGAAGACAGGCAGGGCTGGCGCGATCAAGAGAGAGATCTTGGAGTTGTAGTAGATAACTCACTGAAAATGTCGAGACAGTGTGTGACTGCAATAAAGAAGGCCAATGCTATGCTGGGGATTATTAGGAAGGGTATTGAAAACAGATCAGCCAATATCATAATGCCCCTATATAAATCAATGGTGAGACCTCATTTGGAATACTGTGTGCAATTCTGGTCACCACACCTTAAAAAGGATATTATAGCTTTGGAAAAAGTGCAGAAAAGGGCAACTCAAAAGATAAAAGGGTTGGAACACTTTCCCTATGAGGAAAGGTTAAAGCACTTAGGGCTCTTTAGCTTGGAGAAAAGACGACTGAGGGGTGACATGATCGAGGTTTATAAGATTATGCATGGGAAAGAGCAGGTAGAGAAAGAGGTACTTTTCTCCCTTTCTCACAATACAAGAACCCGTGGGCACTCCATGAAATTGCTGAGCGGTCGGGTTAGAACGGATAAAAGGAAGTACTTCTTCACCCAAAGAGTGATTAACACATGGAATTCACTGCCACAGGAAGTGGTGGGTGCTACAAGCATGGACGGCTTCAAAAGGGAATTAGATAAGCATATGGAGCAGAGGTCCATCAGTGGCTATTAGCCACAAGGTATAGATAGGGACTCTGGGGCAAGTGATGCTCTGTCATCTTGGTGCTTGGGGGTGGGGCAACAGTGGGAGGTCTTCTAATGTCCTGGCCCTACTGCTGGACCTCCTGATGGCACCTGGTATTTCTGGCCACTGTGTGATACAGAGTGTTGGACTGGATGGGCCATTGGCCCGATCCAACATTGGCATCTCTTATGTTCTTAAGTTCTTATGATGTGGCCCATGGGGTCGCGGAGAGTCGGGCTCAACTGTGTGACCGAACGACAACAACCCGGCTGTTTCAGCTCAGGAAAACAGCAAAGAGCTTTTGGCATCCTTTTTGGAGAGAAAGTCTG